GACGGACTCAATACGTATGGGCTAGTTTTGGGCCGAAAGATACATATTTTGAAATAATTCGCAAAGATACATGAGATAAGTTTCAGCCCAAGAACGGAATCCATTCATAATAAATTTACAGTTGCAAAATAAACACTTCTCCAAAACAAGTCTAGCGTTGCTAACACTTAAAGCCTTAGCTCGACTCGGCTCGGCTCGACTAGTTTGACTAATAAGTCGAACTAAGCTTAAAGCTCAAATTATGAATTTTGAGCAGTTTTCTATAACTCGGTTTATTAAAGCTCGAATAACATATATAATCTTCGATTATTAGATTTTTTTTTTTTTTTCTCAATTATCAACTTGATTATTATATAAGGTTTATGAGATATAACCAATCCAAGTGGAGGGTGAATGAGGGTAGGGGGCATCGATCGAATCTGATAAAGTGGAGTGGTTGAAACGACATTTAAGGTTCACATGCTCTGTCTTTTTTTATATGTAACATTTTATTTAAGCCCATCTTCTTTTTAATTTGAGCTTATATGAAAATTATTTTTATGAGGAGCCCAAGGATTAATCATTGGATCAAAATGTTTTAACATTTAAAATTAAACACAATTTTACATCACTAAAAATGAACCGACCATATAATTATTCCACAACGTACAAATAATTAATGGTCGAATAATTCAACACCGTTGATGTAAAAACAGTCTGCTAAAGATGAATTATTGCATTACGTACGCTAAAATGTAATGATTTTGCTAATGAAATTTGAGGAGTTAATCAAACTTTTTGTACTTGCTAGGTTTTGTGTTTGCTTTTGACATTCTTTTAAAATATTACAACATCTCAAGATTAGCGCTAAACTAGAGCTCGAGTCGAACTTAATCCTTAACTAGCCAAAATAATAAAAGGTTAGAAAATTATGTAACATTCTTATTTTTTTTTTTAAGTCTAACGAGACTAAAATAAACGAGTCTTAAGCTAGCTCGAACTGTAACGAGCGTCTCGCTATGCTTAACGGCTCTGCTCAGGAGTCGGAATTAGTAGAGGTTTTTCACTAATTTCATACTCGAAATCTAATCAAGAGGAAGCTAAGTGGGAACATTATTGCCACGAAGCTTTGGGTCATTACTTACTCTTAATTTTATGATAATTCTAATACTGAAAACTGATGCACATAATATTCTTCAACATACATACTAATGTGAAAATACATTACATATAACAAGAGGATAATGTTATATGTGATTACACCAGAAATTCTATGGTGCCACATGTGGCACGTGTTATGGTGCCACAACATGATGTGGCACATTATGATTGGTGTCACAACATGATGTGTGATAGTTGTGGCACCAATCATAATGTGTCATATCATGTTGTGGCACCATAATATGGTGCCACATGTGGCACCATAGAATTTCTGGTGATTACACAACATATTTGCATAGATAAGTTATGATTTGATTTGTATACTAATTAATATGTAACACGCACGAGTTAAAATGTAAGGATAAAATACAATGGAAGTAGACATTATGTCATCCATTGGCATATCAAAATGTTTCACAAACATAGTATATGAATTGGTGGTTCATTCAATTCTTTAAATTACACGAGTCTGGCTCGAGCTCGGTTCGTTAAAGCTTGAATTCAGTTCGAGTTCGAGACCTTAACGAGCCGAGCTCGAGCTCGTTTAAAGCTCGTTTGGCTAATGAGCCGAGTTCGGTTCGACTCGATAAGACTCGAAAATAGAATTTTTATTTGGGAATTGATATTGACAAACTTGCAAGGTCACATCATTTTTTACTTTTTAGGTAGATATGTGGAATGAAAGTATACAGGGGTGTATTTAATTGAGATTTATAAAGACTTTTAAAAACTTTTTAGGATTTTAGAAATCTTAGTGTATTTAATTTAAATTTCTCAAGACTTTTAAAAGTCTTGAGCTATTCAATTAGAATTTTAAAAAGTCTTACGAAATCCAGGTGTATTTAACTTATTTAAGGTTAGGATTTATAAGGACTTTTTAAAATTTGGTGGGATTTCTAAAGAAAAAAACATGTAGGAAATCCCACTACAAATCTCACTTTTAGACTTAGGGGGTTGTATTCAATTGAAACTTTTAGAGACTTTTTAAGACTTTTAGAATTTTGGTATATTCAATTAGAACTTTTAAAGACTTCTAAAAAGTTTACATGTATTCAATTGAGACTTTTAATGACTTTTAATAAGTCTCTAAAAGTCTCAGGGTATTCAATTAAAACATTTTGAGAGTCTTTATAAGTCACCCGATATTCAAAACAGAAAGACTTTGTGAGACTTTTTAAATTTTGAGACTTTTGGAGACTTTTGTAACAAAATTACAAAGAAAAAGTCTCAACAGAAATCTCATGAATATTGATGAGATTTTGTTGGACTTATGTGACTCTTTTCACGCTTTTTTTTTTTCTTTCTAACACGACTTTGTATCTCATATCATTTTCATGCTCTATTATTTTACTTATTTATTTTGATACCTTGTGTAAGTTTTTATTTTCATTACATATTATTGTGATCTTTTTATTTTATATATTCTTTATTATGCTTATTTTATGTGTGTATACCTTATTCTCTCATTTTGTTATCTTGTGAATTTGTCTTTTCAAAGGTAGATGCTTCCATAGTTGCACTTGAAAATAATTTATTTGTTCTTTCTTTTTATTTGTAAATGTTTATTTCAAAATATTAAAAAAAAAATATTTTATTTTCAAATAGTTTATTTGTTAATATTGAAATGTTTTGAATATTATTGATAATTTTATAAGATACAATTACTGTTTTTCGGCATGTTTGTATCTTGTAAAAATATAACCTAATAATATTTTTCTATATAACAACATTATGCAAAAAAATATAAAAAGTAAAATCAATAAATAATTAAATAAATATATCTTAATTTAAGTTGATTATAAGTATCGTTATAGTAGAGATGTCTAACACATATTTGACGTTGTACTCTTTTAACAAACAAATATAAGGCCCTGCTCGATTTGACTCGTTGAAGCTCGGATCGATTTACTCGTTTAATAAATCTAAAATCCTAAACAATTTGTTCGTGAATAACTCATTTCTTATAAAAATGAGTTTTTTTCATAAATTTTCAGAGGATTAATATATACAACATCTTTTTGTTTTTTCATTTATTCTTGTTTATATTAGTTATTATGTTACGTTTATTATTATTTTATTCAAACATAATATTATAACTGCAAGTATATAAAAGTCTCAATAAGTTTTAAAAAGTCCATTATGAAAGTCTTAAAAAGTCACTGATGAAAATTCTCTGAAAGTCTCAAAAAGTCCAACAAAGTCATGAAAGTTCTACAAAATCCACAAAAGTCATCAAATTTAAAAAGTTTTAAAAAGTCCTTAAAAATCTCAATTGAATACACCCTCCTTAGTATTTTATAGGATTTTTTTAAAATTTGAAAATCCTCAAAAATCTTAAATCTTAAAAAGTCTTTAAATGTCATTGGAATTCCGAAACGAATACAAATTTGACTCTACTCGGATTTTTCCAGTTTAAACTTTCAAATCCTCCTAAACCAAAACACACACACACACACTTTCCCTCTCTGTAAAAGCATATCCATTTCCAAGCGCTGTCAAATGTGTACGAACATACACGCACAAACACACAGTGCACTGTAAAAGGCTCCTTCTTTTTAATGCTTCTCAACTGTTTCAAATTTAATGTCCCCTTATTTCCTTTTGTTTCCTTTTATGTCTTCTCTCTTGATGCTGCCAGCCATTGTTGTTGCTGCTCTAATACAACAGAGCTGCGTGCTCCTATGTTAAGCGCCCAACTGGATGCAAGAAGAACAAAAAAAGAAGGAAATTTTGTAAGAACATTCTTGTTTTTCTTCACTTTAATCATATCTTTGTTGCTGCTTTTTGGGAGTGGTTAATGCCTTAATGGCTTCAAAGATTGAAACTTTACAGTGGGGAATGGCTTAAAAATCAGTGCTTTTCATATTTTGTTTTTGATTTTTTGCCATTTGATGAGAAAATGAGATTGGGACTTGTTTAATGGCTTCAAAGATTGAAACTTTACAGTGGGAATGGCTTAAAAATCAGGGCTTTTTATATTTTGCTTCTGAGATTTTGCCATTTGAATGAGAAAATGATGAGATGTATGAGAGTGTTGAGAGTCTTGGTTTAGTCAGATTCTAATGGTGAATATTTGCAATTTGCAACATGATATTAGCATATCCCATTTTCATTTGCAGCTGTTTGATTTTAGTTTGTGATGTGATTTATCAGTGAGAAACCTAGTGGGGAAATTGCTCTGCTTGATTCACATAGCAAACAATATACATGATTTCATTTTCTTTCTACTAATTATAAAATTCATGTAAAAAGTTGATAAATTTTCTTCTTTGCCACTTAAAATCTTTTGTTATTATGAATTCTAACACATTTTTTATCACTACAACCTTTTGCAGCTAGAATTTGCCTTCTCTTTTCACCTCTTGTTGCTATAAAAAATCATTGATACACCTTGCAAGAGTAGAAAATGCCAAGACCAAGGTACTATTATCCAACTTTTCTCTTGGATCAACAGTTGCTATAATCATCATCATCATTTTTATTTTCATTTTTTTCCCATTTATTGGAATAATCTCATGTATCTAAACCACAGAACCGAAACAGCCCAACGGCAGTCCCCTCGAGGACTTCCCAATGCTCGCATGTCGAGCTCCGATTCCGATCAGCCGAACCCTCGACCACGGACGGAAAAGAACCAGAAACCGATCGACGGTCGATCGGCTAGGCCCTCTCAATCCGAACCGTCGAATCAGAAGAAACTCGGGACCCGCATTGCGAATCTTGAGTCCCAGCTAGGCTTGGCTCAAGAGGAGCTCAAGAGCCTGAAAGACCAGTTAGTTTCGAAGAAGCCCGTCAAGAAAGCTGAACAAGACCAATTTGAGGATAAACCGAAACAAACCGAGGCCGAGACAGTAAAACCTGCAAAAGACGAACTTGATAACAACCCGGAACAAATCGAGTCTGAGGCACTGAAAAAAGGAGACAGCTTGAGTACTATTACTCAAGAAACGTTGATCGATAATGTCGTTCATCAGGAAGAAACAGATGTTTTCGAAGTTCCAGTCGAGAAATTAGCCATCGAGCCCGAATTACCAGCTGGCAAAGATGAACTCAACTCTAAGTCCATCATCGAGTCCAAAAATCCGTTGCTCGATGAGCTGACATCGAAATTAGACGCGAAGGACAAGGAGTTGGAAACTTTCCGTGTAGAGAACGAGAGCTTAAAGAGCCAGCTCGATAACAAGTCGCTAGAAATGTCAACCGCTCGAGCTGAAATCGAAGGGTTGACTCTGAGGTTGACTAATATTGAGCAAGAGCTTGAAAGGAGTAAAAAAGGAAGTGTTCGGGTAAGTGAAAAGTTAGAATCGGTTGAAAAGGCGAAGGAGGAGTTGGAAAATGAGATGGGAAGGCTGAGGATACTTTCCGAGCAGTGGAGGAAAGCGGCAGATGAAGCGGCGGCAGTTCTGGCCGGCGGACGGTTGCCGGAGAGGTGTGGGTCGATGGATAAGGCCTGCATGGGCCCATTGGGCCAAGTTGGTGGTTATGGTGGTTACATCATGGGGTCACCTGGATTGGTTGACGATGAAGATGGAGATGATGGTTTTTCGGGTGGTGTGAGGAGGAAAGGGCCCGGGATTAGAATTCCATGGAAAAAGAAGGGCCCGAAATGAATGAAAATCGATTACTCAGATATTGAAAAGATGTGTTTTGTGTGAGTGATGACAATATTTGATGCTTGCTTTTTGTTTGATTTTTGAATGTCAACTTCTGTTGGTATTTTTTTTTTATTATTTTTCTTAAGTTTGATGTATGTGTGGGATTTGCAAACTGGTGCATTCTGATGCTTATATATTGGTTTCATGCATGTTATATTTACTGAGCTGAGCTTTTGGGAAAAATGTATTCAGCATTAGGTTCTGCAAATTCATTTTATAATTATCTTTTTGACAAGCTGAGTTAAAACTTTTGTCGAGCCGAGCTGACTCGTTATCGGGTCGAATCTCGAAAATACGAATTTAGAGAACGTGCATGAAAATGTACATTGAGTTCGAACAAAACAAAAACGTCAACTTTTCTACAGATAAAGCCAAGCTTAGATCTGTTCGACTCGATTACACCCCTAATCTGACTTTGAATTTACTATGCTATAATCTGTTGAATGAAAACTATCACCACCACCACCTGTTGTATTTACCAAACATTGCTTTCAAATCTATCATTTTGCAAAGGCATTTTCCATTAATTTCCACCAAAAAAAAAAATTGATTTAGTTGAAAACCAGAAAGAGATGAAGACAGAGAGCACATCACATAATTAAATACACCATAAAGAAAAAGAACCAAAAACATTAGAGGCATATTTTAATAACTAAACATATTATCCTCTCACAAACAGCAAACAATCAAATCTTAGTATATAAGTGTTCAATACTTGTCTGAATTCTCTGGTTGCACTTTAAACCTTCAAAAAATGGCTCAAAATTTAACCATTTTTCTCAATCTCCTATCACTCTTTCTCTTTATCCTTTCATACATTCTCCAAATCTCAAATGCCTTCACCTTAACCCTCACCCACAGAGACTCCCCACAATCCCCTCTTTACACCCCAAACCTCTCCAATTTCCAACGGTTCGTAAAAAACACTGAAATCTCCAAAACCCGCGCTTCACACTTCCAAAAACCGAGCCAAACGAACAACAGCAACACGAAAGAACTCCTCGAAGACAAATCCTTTCACCTCCCACTCACCACTCGAACCTTGATTTTCGACACGGGCAGCGGGCTCACGTGGACCCAATGCAAGCCATGCATACGTTGCTTCACGCAGAAAGAGCCTTTATTCGACACGAAAAACTCAAAGTCATACAAAATGTTGACCAAAAACGACGACAAACCGGGCAAAATCTTCTCATGCACGAACCAAGGATGCATTTACTACGTGAAGCAGGGGCGGAGCCACCCTAAGGCTAGGGTGGGCTCCAGCCCCATGTAATTTTTTGCTAACTTTATTTTTACTAATCTTATTTTTTTTTAAAAAAAATTATACATCGACTCATTAGCCCCATGTAATTTTTTATGTAGCCCCATGTAATTTTGGGCAGGATGCCTCAAGAATATCTTTAGGTTAATTTTTTTA